GCGGTCTATATTTTAAATATTGTCTTTCTACAGTATTTGTTTTTGATTGTCAGTTGATACAACTGTGAATCACTTGACCAACAACTGATACTATACAATGTTGTACTCAATTCTGGTATTTGCTGTGAACTCTGTATATCCTTCTGCTGATAAAGCAACTAGTGACAAATTGCCTTTTTGAACTGTATGAGTCTTTTGTTTAAAACAATAAAAGGGGCAGACCGCTTTCCCTCCACCCCTCGTGCAGATGATATAAAGATGCAGGGACCAGCCATGAACTGCATCACATCATTCTCTTCTGACTGCTGTGGATCATTCAAAGCTGTAAGTACTCTATACTTCTATACCTACTGGTGGATTCAGACATTACTGTGCAAGAGTAGTCAAATGCAGAGCCATTGTAGGATGCTGTTGAAGGGACATTCACTGTTTTAAATACAGACAAGCTGATACGTTTCTTCTGTTTCAGAATAATGAGCAGGAACTACTTGTCTGCAAATAGCGAGCTCCGCCAGGGAGACTTCCTACTTTCCAACAACGAGAAGTGGAAGGCAGTTTTCCAGGTGAGTCACTCAGATTTTGTCAATCCAGAAGTTTGCCAAAAGTATTGTTTACAGGTCACGTGTCAGATTAAAGTAGCTGTGAGTTTTCTTAGAGATTCGTGCTCTAATAAAAGTCTAATGTGTCTCTTTTCCTGCAGGATGATGGCAACTTTGTCATTTACGGCCCGAGCCCTGTGTGGGCTTCAGGTACTGATGGAGCAGAGGCTGTTCGCCTGTGCATGCAGGATGACTGCAACCTGGTCATGTACGACACGAGTAACCAGGTGATATGGGACACAGGCTCAAGCACAGCTCCCTGCATCACGTGTCGCCTTCAGCTGACTGATGACGGCACGCTGGTGATTTACCGGGAAGCTGAAGTTGTCTGGACCTCTGAGTTTTCCAAAGGCAATAAAAAATGACTTAACATGACTTTTGAGCTTCTGAGTGCTTTTAAAATTGAAAGCAATCTTTGAATGTTATCCTGAGTTCACTGCCTGCGATGTAATGTGGACACAATAAAAGGCACCTTTTCAAATTGCATAAACGTGTTTTCCTTCTCTTTGCAGTGAATTAACTTGTAGCTTTCACATTCTGCCTGTGTGGCTCTTTTTTACACACTAAAATCAAGTTCAAAACACTAATTAGGCAACAATATGTAGGCATCTCATTTGATGTCACAGGGCTGCAAAATGGCTCGGTGGTTANTTATTGAAATGAATGAAAAGGCCGGACACTTGTCAAATGCAGCTATCTTTGGAACCCTGTAGCTCCAGCATACTTTCCAATAACAATTCAACTTTTAAACATGTCACAAGGTTTAATCCCTAAAATAACCCATTGATATTCCACATAAGTGAAATTAAAACAACCATTACCAACCTGAAACATGAGCCAGTTGAGAGGACAAACGTGCTGTGCAGCCTTAATTTTAATTAATGTTAAATCAAGCCACAAAAGCTTCCAGGTGGAAGGTGCAGCATCCATAAAAGCTCTTTCATCTCCGTTATAAACCATGAAAGACATGTAGCAGATGAATTCAATTTGCATGATTGCCAATAAAAAAAGTATGTCATGAAAACTGGCTCCTATATTAAAAATAAGAAACAGGCATAACTTAGAGTTGTGCATAGATCTGATAATGTTCATATTCAAATCATAGATATTGCTCTTGCAGCTTTGTGTTACACTTTGTCCTGTGAAGAATATCAAAAAAAGTCAGAGGGATGTCACAGTTGTAAATTTGAATATTATTGATAAATGGCACATTGACCAACGACTTCTTGAGAAAAGCCATCTATGTTTATACAGGAAAAGGACAGGTGGCTTTCCCTCCACCCCCAGTGCAGATGGTATAAAGATGCAGTGATCAGACATGAACTGCATCACATCATTCTCTTCTGACTGCTGTGGATCATTCAAAGCTGTAAGTACTCTATACTTCTATACTGACTGGTGGATTCAGACATTACTGTGCAAGAGTAGCCAAATGCAGAGCCATTGTGGGATGCTGTTAAAGGGACATTTTCTGTTTTAAATAGAGATAACCAGATGCATTTCTTCTGTTTCAGAATAATGAGCAGGAACTACTTGTCTAAAAATGACGAGCTCCGCAAGGGAGACTTCCTTATTTCCAACAACAGGGAGTGGAAGGCAGTTTTCCAGGTGAG